TGTTAAGTCAGAAAGCTATTTTATACAGTGCTGTCAGCCATCAGCTGACATTTGATGAGACAGGTGGAAAGTCTTTTCCCTGAATGGAGTGGTACTAATTACAACGAGGAGCAGAAGGGATGGAACTCAGCATTTCTCTTTCAGTTTTTTAGGGTGAAGCTACATCTTCTAATGTTACCAGTAAGACTTGAAGCTGAAGTAAATTTCCCATTAATGTTATGTCAACAAAACAGAGTGCATTTATTTAAATGTGAGTCTTACTTTGTTTATGTTTTTAAGTGGGCTCATTCAAGAGCCCATGAGGCCACTTATCTACTTTTGTGACTTACACAATTGCCAAGATTTTACTAAATTACATTCCATCCTGATTACATCAGCTAAAAATACCTGGCTTCCTTCCCACGTAAAACACATCACATATTTTCTCTTAACCATAAATTGCAGTAGGTCACAATGGCAAAAATATCTTGGTTTGTGGTGGGAGGGCAATGGTAGAGGGAGAAAGGGAAGGGCGTATCCAACAACTGCACTGAACTGAACAAACGCAGCGGGGGGTTTTCAGCACAGATTAAAGCTCTGTGAAGTTACACCTCCTCTTTTTTCTCCACCTGCAAATGCTAAAGGGAAAGCTCCTTTCTGGTGCTCTTGTGTTTAATTCAGATGTAGGAAGAAATTGCTGTATAACAGCAAGCAAATCTGATGTCTGTTGCTTTGCTCATCTTCCATCCATGGAGGGGAGCAGCAATTTTAGGATTCAGCAGACAAAAAGGCAAATCAAATACTCTAAATGCATTTCTCTCTCTCTCAACTTCCTTGTGGTAAAGCAGAGAAATAGGATGATACTACTTAACTATATTTAAAAAAAAAGCAAACAAATGCTTTATGGATATCCGTTTATATTCTTGTAGAATCCCATACACTGAACAGATCTTTACTGCTTTTGTATTCAGAATAGGGATTTTCCTCAGTGCCTTAGGTCAGAGGTTGACAACCTATGACTCATAGGCTGGATCCAGCCCATAGAGCTATTCTATCCAGCCCACGATGTCAAGGCTTCTGTGGGGTTTCAGTGGAGGAGAGGGTGGGGAATCAGGAAGACTTCACTGTTGGGTGGTGGAGAGAAGCAGGGTAGCAGGTGAATCAGAAGGCCTGGCTCACCTCAGGCTGAGCTGGGTAATTTCTGCCCTCTGCTTCCAAAACATTGCTGGTGCCTTAGGCAACATTTCCTCCCTTGGACTTGGAACATCCAAGGCAATTGCTACTGCCTGGAGGCAGGGTAGGTACATGCCTTCTAGACTAAAATACATTTAGAGAATAAGCTTCTGTGAACTCAGGCTTGCTTTGTCAGATGCTGTGAAAGAACAAGCACAAAGCAGTGTCTGAAGTGGAGTGAGTGATTTGAATGCAAAAAGTAGGAAGGGAAGGCAGTGAGAAAGAGCAGGGAGCAGCAAGCAAGAAAAGCACTCATCTGAACAAAGGGTTCACAAAAGATAATCCAAGTAATGGGATAAGAATCCCCAGTAATGGAAATCCATAGTCTCCGTTTAAACCCTACTTAACACAAGTCAGTATGTGGACAACTTTTCATTCCACAATTTCCTGTTCAAACCAGTGCAAATAGGCAACTGGTAGGAGAGCACGGGGGTGGGGGGGGATACACCCCTTAACAGGGCTGTTACCGTCTCTGACAGCTTCTGCAGGTGCTCACTAGCCCCATCCCTGACGCCACCAGCAGTTTCTGCAGGTGCTTCCCCAGACTCAGGAGGCACCAGTAGCCCATGCTGGTGCATACCAGTATTATTGCAGTGTGCCATTCAAAGGGGGCGGAACTGCTGTGGCTCTAGCTACATGTAGTTTGTAAAAACTGTTCTGGGAGGTTTCAGGCTCTCTGTATACATGGACAACGTGCTATTGCTTACACACCCCTTCGCAACTTATGCACAGTGCCTACATTTTAGCTCATATTTTTAACTTGACTGAAGCAATTTGAGTCACACTTCGAAGGTTTCAGTTTTTAACAAATTAAAAGAACAGTTTTTTGGATTGAACAAAGTAGCAACCAACTTGAATAAGGAGTTCAGGTTTGGGTTTTTTTTAAAGGTTTAGATTCACAGGATGACTTAAGCACCATTTGGAAAAAACAAGGCAATGGTGCTGGTAACCTGCCTTATAGCTCTATGGTTGTTCGAATATTCGCCCAAGGTGTAGACGGCTTGGACTTCTCTTGCCTTGTTTAGAGCAGGGATTATGAATCAGGCTCTGGGGGAACTGTCCTAGCTACTTGAAGGCATCATCAAATAGGTCTGTTTGATAATATTTCAGTATACGAAGTGGAATGGCTATTTATTTACACAGAGCAAAAACACGAGATTAAGTCTGTAGCTCTGGGGTCCTACAGACATAGGCAGACAAGGATCTTTGGGTAAATCTGATATCTTTTTTTAGACCAACTCAAATAGTTGGAAAAATTCTTCTTTGCAAGCTTTTGAGTACACCCTTCTTCAGGCAGAGGGAGCAAAGGGTGCTTGTACCCGAAAGCTTACAAAGATGAATTTTTCCAACTATTTAGTTGGTCTAATAAGAGATCAGATTTACCTGAAGAACCTTGCCTGCCTGTGTCCTTAGACCAACACCGCTACAACCAACACTCCTCAGCATACCCAGTATTTTTGTGGAGGTTGCCTAAAGTCCCCTCATGAATCTACACTGGCAATCTGAAAGATTCATTTCAGATGCATCAAAACAGCATTTTTTATACAGAACATCACGATGTATGTAGCTAAATCTATTCATCATTTTAAAGTCAAGTGTATGCCTTGTTTCAGTCAACTAAAATGCATTTTTTGAAGAATAAACTATTGTCCCCTCCCAAAATGTGTCTGGCCTTACAGTATTTATTAGTACCTGTGTGAGCATGGGTTGTAGGGAAAGGAAAAGAGTAGGGGGATAGGGAAATGACATAAATTGCCTATAAACTTGATACTGCCTGTTACATCCTGTGGAGGCGGGCAGTTGCTTATGTGTCTTCTAGTTCAAAGGATGACGGGGTTGGCAGAATTGTTCTAATGACGATTCTAGACTGCAGAAGTAGTGTCCCACTACCTGAGAGCACGGGAATGCATTGAAGTGGATCCATTTTCTAGACAAAGTTGGCAGCTTGTTTTATGGTAGCCTTAATGAATTCTTCTCCATACTTATCTGCACTGTTTGATTTACTTTGGGGCTGGGGACTGGTTCAAAGCAGGCTAGTATCAAATGTATGCAGTTTCACAGGTGCAAGGTACTTCTGAACAAGGAAGTCATGGGAAAAGCATCCCTCAAGAAGGTGTCAGATAAAGCAGAGTTTATAAGAGTTACATAAAAGGCTTCTCTTTCCTCCTTATTGAGTTACCGACTGATGTGTTACTTATGCTACTGTTGATGTCATCCCTGAACTGGCCATATTTTTAGAATGAAATCTGGGCCATGGCTGTTGGACAGGAGAGACTGATAACACCCCTTATCTGACCCAGGAGTAGCAGGATGTTAGAGAATGAATACCAGTAGCTAGTACCAAAATGAGAAGAGTCTGAAATCCAACTCTCACCCAAATCTGTCATCTTCCTCTCGTACATTCACCTTTGCTTTCTCTCTGCATCGTATACTTGGAACCAACCCTATTGCCCACATCTACCCATTCTTTCCTTCAAGGCTCTCCTTATTCTATCTCCATCTTCACATTTGTGCAACACTTTAAGGATCATCCTACAGAATTCCCCATTCCTGATAAAACATTTTTCACCTGTGATTCAAGAAAGGAGATCAGGTATCTTCAACTTTCCTTTACAAATGAGGAAACTGTAGCATAAAGGGAACAGAGTTGATATGACAGGGACACCAGGGCACAGCATGGAACAGAATACAGGTCTCTGGCTTCTCAGACCTGCATCCTAACTCCACCACTTGTGCGTAAATAAGAAAGTACTGCTTGTTTGGAACAACATGTGCAAGAAAGATATATTTCACACTTTGTTCTGTATGTTACTGACAGGCTTTGAGTAGCTGGGCCATCACCCTGTGGCACCCTTAAAAGGATCTGAATGTGTCAGGGTGTTGCAGCATCTGGGTGAAAACCGCTGGATTAGGTCGACAGAGAGCTGCGACTGCTGATAGCTAAGAATTGTGTGCACTCACTTGTATTTATCTGCTACCAGGTCTTCTACTTCTCAACCCCACCTTAGCTTGCTTCTTTACCTCATCCACATGCTGCAGCACAGTTTGGACCGTATGCTGTGTGGGGCAAGAACTATCATTTGCTACAGGCAGACAATAGCACCACAAGAAGCAAGCAAGCAAGCTACTCTCAGTTTTACCACCCAGCTTGAGGCATTTTAAAATACACTAAGGATTTGATCGCTGCATTTTGTGGCCACCTATGAGAAAGTTAGAGGTATTACAAAGTACAAACCATAAAAATGATTTTTTAATAGTTTGTATTAATGAAGTGGACACTAATTCTCTCCTACAACCTTAGCTCTGCCCTCACAGACTGATTTGTCATCTCATTCATTACTAACCTTTCCCAAAGAAAGAACACTGCAGGGCCACAGGTTCATAACAGGAACCATCACTTTGTGCTCCCAGTCAAGTTATATTCAGAATGGTCTTAGCAAGTCCTGGCTGCTATGTATATGCTCCATTTTACAACTTGATTTACTCTGCGCTTACAAGCCACCCCAGAGGTGCTGGGGGTACCTGACCTAATATCTCCAAAACATTTCACACGAAAACTGCAATTTCAACAAATTTGCAGACAAATTTAGCATTCTCGTAGCTTAAAAAAATCCCTGTTAATATTTTTTTTAGAAGAGAACATTTCTCTTTTCTGTTCTGGAATAACTTTCTGCATTTTATGACAGCAATACATTTTAATATGAAACAAAAATAATTTGGGCTGCTGTGCCTTTGTTTTGGATGTTTGTTTCAAAGGATGTTTCTGTTTTGTTCTTGTTTCAATTCCAAATGCAGAAAATTAGTAATGGAAATCCCACTCATCAGAAACAAGAGAGGTCTCTTCCTAGCTCTTTCACATGCATGGACTACCTCAGGCCTCCACGGACCTATGCAGTAAGTGTAGCATTGTTTTGTTAAAGCGTGCTTGCACTCACTAAGATGTGGCAGCGATACACATCTACATACAGAAGAATTTTGGCCGTCTCGTGTTATTTGGCTGGAGTTTTACAGAATCTAGCAACAGAAAACTGAACAGAACTTTGGGATGGTTTTATCTGGGACTGTTACTCCTGTATTAACACTACTTATCATTATACCACCAATACTGCTTATCATTACCACTATTTATCATTCAAACCACCAATACTCTCGCATTAACTTTGATTTGGCCACTTTTATCAGTTAATAGGTTTTATCTTTCTGTTTGAAAAGCACTGCCTGTAAGGTTAAAAAGTTATTTGACACTGTATTTTATTATTCTCTTCTCCCCCTACAAATGAATGGTGTTTTACTTCAATCAATAAACAGTTTGAAGTTCCAGTTCAGAATGGGAGTGAAGACATCTCAATTTATGGAATTACACTTTAAAGGGTTCTGAAACTAACATTTTTACTATAATTTTTATTAGTGGGGACCTTGAATGTTTTAATCAGAGTAAGTATAAGCAGATTTCATAGGAAATTTCTAAGAATGTGTTTTAAAATGTCTATCACAATAAAATTTGATTGCTTTTAAATAACCTCTCTTAGACCAACATAGCTCTACACAAGATCATCAGAAAATTGAGCACAGAAAACCTCAATTTTTTTCTTAAATGACTACAATTTCAACTCAAAATAATGCATGGAAGCAGGTCACATTAAGTTAGCAGGAACAGTTCATATTAAAATGTTAATTCCATGAATATCTCAGCAATGTTTATATAAACCCCACCCACCCTAATTCTGTCTAATGTATTTATTAGATTAAGTGACCATTAGCTGCCATATGACTATTTAACCACTTGATACCCAACATATTTGAAAAGCTATTCAGTGGACAGTGACTAACTTTTTCTACTTGCAATATGACTATCTTAAGAGACTTTCTTCCCAGGCAGCAGGCCTCCTACCATATTCTGGTAGCTCTGCACGGGAAAGATGCATGTAAACATCATGCAAAGCAACAAACCATAGCTTCATAAATTCCAGGATGCATGAAACCTACATTTCCAGTATCTTGCCTTTTAGGATCAGAATGTGCCGATATACATAGCAAGGCTGTTCTGACAAGCTATAATTACGTGTTTGCTGGATCATAGCAATTACCATGCTTCAGCAGACTCGTGTCATGCGTCTCAGTGTCTCCATGCTCAAAAATCATGCCGGGGGTGCTTTAACTAAAGTGCATTTGACGAGCGTCAGTTAAAGCGCCCCCACTGCCATTTTTCAGCATGGGGATGTTGATACACATGATGCTCTGAAAGCTTTAAATTAGAGCGGCTCTAATTAAAGCACCCCTCCCCCTCTCCCACAGCATGTGTATAAACTCCCAAAGGGACTGACAGTATCATGGAGTCCTGCCATTCTTAAGCCTCGTTCATGCTAACAACTGGTATCGACACTGGGTGCAGTTGGGCAGGTACTGAAAGTGATTTAGATGCAAGCAGAGGCACAACCCAAACTGCATTCCTTGTATTGAAAGCAGCCAGCTACTATACCATATAATAGTCTACTTGCTTATGTACTTTTGAGTTAGAACGCCTCTAAGCTCTGTAAAGCAAAGTCTACTTCACCTCTCCCTTCCCTGAAAACCAGACCGCACCACTGACTCTCCTCTCTCAGCAGTGCTGTGGGTTCTGAAAGCTGCACCTTCTTATTCCTCTCCTGTCTAAGCTCTTGACAGAAGAAAGGAAAGAGCTACTTCTGAAATTCTTGGAAAGAGTCAGAACACCTTCCTTCCCAACTCCAAAGGACAAGTCCAAGCTGGACTTTCTAGACCACTTTTCCTGAGTCAAGAATAATCTGAGATGTCTATCTGGACAAACGAGTGGCAGGCCTCTATTCTGGGGAAAATAAGTGCTTAGTTTGGTCACTTCTTTAAAATCTGAAGCACTGCTAAAAACAGTCAAGGGACCAGTCTTTACACACTCCAGTCAAATTGTAGGAAAAGCACTTCCAAGTGCCTGACAAATGCTACAGTGTACTATTGTACAGAAAAACCAAAAAGAAGTTCTTTCCCAACACAGAAGTAGACAAAAATAGACGAGTGAAACCCCTGTTAATAAGAATTTATTGAATAGCTAGAAAAAAAGTCAAGATGACGATGTTTTGTGTAAACAAAAGTTACATGAATGTAAAGCAGACACTCATGCAAAAGAAAACATTAAAAACCCGAAGGAACTGTAGAGAAACTCCAGAGGAGAGGGGAAATACCACTATAAAACAGTGTTCCAGACACCTAGAATAAGTCATTCATGTAAAAGTTGCTTTCCTGAATGCATAGCAAAATTTATAGGAGTCACAGGGAAAAAAACAAACAAACCAAGCAAACAAAAAAATGCAAAAGCCAAAATAATGAGCAAACCTCAAAAAACCTCAATGCATTTATCAAACACTACAGTACTTATCAACACTCATGCCATGTTTAAGAATACAAGCAAACTGCATCATTACACAGAATATTGAAATGCCTTTTCAAGGCAAAAGCAATTTGGTACAACAGAACTAAACTGCTAGAAATGGTGACTTGATAATGTAAGAGTTCTAAAAGGAGACTCAATGGATTGAAATGTTTTGTTAAATTACGTGGATTATTCTGTAGAACATTAAGGTAAATTATGATAATTGAATGGCTTAGTGCTAAAAAATCAGACCGACCTTGAGAATAATCAACAGTTCAGGAACTGAGACGCTACAGAAGTCATATGCATTAGTCAGGAAAAACAGGCTTACAGACAGAAAATCCAAAATCCCTCTTTGCCAATTTGTAAGCTCTACTACAGTCATTTTTTACACCACGGGACTGTAAAGTGAACAACTCTGCAAGGAACTGGATAGTCAAGTCTGACATAATAAACAACATATACAGTATACTTTTTAAGTTCTGTGAATTATAAAAATATAACTAGGTTTCCGGACTGCAATAGCCTTATCATCCTGTTATGAACAGTACAATGACTGAAAATACAGGGTAGAGAGCTGGTCATTTTGGTTGGTTTAGACCAAGTGCAGTTATTTACATTTTAATTACAACAGTATTAGAGAATAGAAAGCCTACTTTTAGATAAAAAATATGTTTCTTTACTTTTTTTTTTTTTTTTAAATAAGTATCATTTTTTCCCCCTCAAGTACAGCTTTCAGAAGTATCTTTGAATACTTTGGTTTAGTAATGATAACCTCACTTTACCTTCTCTTCCTATTTGCTGATAAGAGAAATCAATTATATTAAAAACATTAAGTTCTGATGAGAAACCTCAGTCACCAGCAGCTACCTTAAGATCTAGTTATTTCTCCAGCCCACATATAGTTTTTAGACCACAGCACAATCTGCTCTAAGCATTCTCAGTATTGACCTGCAAGTGGTAGCTCAGAGTTGGTCGCTGGGTTTTACACAAATATCTGGAAGACTCCACTCCTATATTTTCAGCTATTACAAATTAGAATAATTCCATGGCAGTCAGACGCATCAAGTTACACTAAATGAAAAGCTAGCCTATTTATCCATAGGATAGTGTGGCCAGCATGGAACTATTTTATACATAAAACGGTCTAGTTATTTCACTTGGATGAGGTATACGTTTGACCTTAAGCATCTAAAATACAAAGGTCTTACTGTCGCTTATGGGGACATTTCGAATTTTGCCATCACCAAGCTTCAATGCATCTTTGATCTACTGAAGGCATGAATACGTGAGATAAAGGAAAAAGGTCAAGAGCTGTGTTTCAAAGACTGAATTACATGCCAAACAATACAAAAAGGAAGGTCAAAATATCTGCAAAAGCTTTGCTTATTTGCCACCAACTTATTTAAAGTATATTTCAGAATGCAATTTAAACACAAGATAATGATAGCAATAGCTCAGGCACAAATGTTGAAGCTACAAAATCACTGGGAATTCTGCTCATTTAAGTATCACTAAAATTAGCGTTCAGCATGCTCATCATTTGTGGTTTCCTTGACTCTTGCCACTAGGCTGAAAATGCTCCCTACGTTGCATTTTACATGATATACAAAAACTCACCATACTAAAAGTGAACAAAAAAGGCTTTAGTCGGCCCAGCAGGGTTCTGTTCAAAATTCAAACACCAGCACTATGTTCAGATTATATTTACAAATTTGTATATAAATTCATGTTATCTGCCAAAACCAAGTTTATTTACAGGAATGAGCACTCAGTGAGAACCCTGAATATTGAATTTCAGGGTTCTGCTTGTGTCTTGTAACAACCGCTATCAGCACTACATGAAGTAACAGCTGCTAGCCTCAGATCCTTAACCAAATAGCGGATATTGTTTCCACAAACCAGTAATGCTCTTTTAAGTCCAGTGTTGTGGTACTATCGTAAGCATGCAGGTCCCTTTTTGTGAATATGCTTTTGAAAGCTTGGACCCTACTTTAAGGCATCTTCCATACCCTTAATTATAGCTGTATAGTAGCACCAAGATTTGCTCAATGGAAGATGATCAGCTAACTTGCTCAGCCTCAAATCTCAAGGCAAACTACGTGTTTTATTTACTACCACGGCTTAACTTTAAATCATTGTGTATGCCACTGCACGAAGACACAAAAATCCTACGTTCAAGTCTGTATCAGTTACAAAACCAAAAAGACCCCATATGCTAAAAGCTCTACAGGATCATTAAATGCTTGTTCTTAAACTTAAGACCACTTCCTATATCCATACAGAAGTGTACTACATGCTCTGATGCTCATGTCTGCCCCCTTGCCCCTCCAAAATTTCTATTTTTTGCTTTCCAGGTCTGGCAGTGTAAAAAAAAACAAAAAACAAAAAAAACTGAGTATGAAGATACCATAATTTACAGTATCCCTGCAGGACACTTCCACTGGATTATCTCCCTGCACAAAACTAGGCTTGTAAGACGAATGTGTGGGGTTATACTTTTTATCCTGTAAGCTTTAACAGATTTTATGCATGGTGTACCATTTGAATACTTACACATTCTACATCACTTGAATACCAAGTTTTCTCACCTATAACCTACACTTTTTCTCTTAAAACCAGCTGGGGAAAATTGGGGTGCACTTTATATGCAAGGAAAAAGGATCCCCATTAGGCCACAAATTTGGTAGCAGTGTGGGGAGAGAGGTGGAAGTGTCAATCATAGCAGCTCTGGCACCAGTGGCATTTACACTGCCAAATCTCTAGATGTGTGCGTGTGTGGGTGGAAGGGGGGAGTGTGGTAGCACACCTCCCCATTCATGTATCAGATCAAACCAGCTCATGGGGTTAGTTTGGGACAGTGAACTAGCTCTGGGGCTGGTTGCCTGGTGCAAGGACCCAGAACCAGCATACCAGGTCAGTCCATGAGCTCCACCTGGCATTCAGGGCTGGCAGTAAGCTTGTCTCCCTAGCTGCTGCCACTTATTGGAAAATATTTTTTTCTTCTTTCACGTTCTCCTTCACAAAAAAGGTGTGTACTATATATGAAGGCAAGTTATATGTGAGAAAAATATTTCTCCCCAAACTCTGAGATACAGCTTCAAGCAGGGGCAGGAATACTACTGGATGAACTGCTGCAAAATCAGATTTATTCACAGCAGCAGGTCTCTACCTCTGTAGGAAACCAAAAACAGAAATTTGAATATATTATTTCTTCTAATACTTCCAAAAAAATAAATGTGCATTTAAACTACCATCCTTAAGAAGTTTTCAATGAGGAGGCCCAATAAAATGTTTATATGAAACATATAAAATTGTAAGGATTGTTTAGTTTAAGACTCTTCAGTGAATTTAACACTTGCAAGACCATACACAATAACTAAAATTAGGCACACAGTATGGAACCACAAATCTTCCCTCTATAGGTCAGCTAACAGATAACATGGACTATGCTCTCCCTCTACTAATATTTACCCTCTCTAAAGTGGAGTAACAGTTTTATACATGCTTGTACAGCAGCTAAAGCGTATGCCCCACACTTTGCAAAAATCACTTACGTAAAGTATATTGTTGGGTTGAGTCTGCAATAGATTAGATTGTGGCTTTTCAGAGCAGTTAGGCCAGTTATTTAACTGCTAAACTCCTCATCCCCCCCTCCTTTTTAAGACATAACATTTCAGATACCAGTGTGGTAGACAGATAGGAAAGCTCATAGACTGCCATGAGCTTCCTTGGTTCCCAATTCACTAGAATTTTTTGGTAAATCTGCTTCTGCATTCAGGATCTGATATTTTTAAGCGACATAAACCTCTCTGAGCAGGCTCTGACAAGGCAGTGATAGAATCTGCGACTACCCAAGCCTTTTAGAATACCAACGATTACACGTTTACGCAAGTGAAAGATAAAGTGTCTTTAGTTTGATTAAGTCATTTTACCAGACAAAAGGGCAGATTTTACTAAACAAATGTTCCAGGTAAAACACTCATTCTTTCATATTTATTACTGTTTATCCTTTTTTTAAAAATTATTATTACAGACTACTGGAGACATGGTAATCATTCCACAAATTTGTATTCTTTTTGCTGTAAAATTTATAACAAACAGTACTGAATCTAGTGCATCAGTTACTCTAATAGATCCAGTGTACCTGAAATGATAATCCAGTGTGGACTGAGGGCTCTCTTTACAAGAGGAAGTTGGCTCACATTTACTAGGTGGAAAGGCAGATTTTACTAGACATTAGGGTTTGGACAGATGCTCAGTTTCTCCAGGGAGATCCCCTGCTCTGTCACGAGAAAACACGAGTGCACAGAAGTTCATAATTTTTCTCCCAGTGTAAAAGAGACCACACTGGGAGAAAAATAACTTGGGAACAACCTGAGTGAAGCAGCTCCCCAGAGAATCTCTCTCAGGAGACAGAACTTCTGTACAGGTAGCCAGTGTGCTTTTCTGCTTCTCCCTCCTCCTCCCACAGAGGGAGGGAGAACATGCATCAGCCTCAGCCAAGCAGAGAGCTGAATGTACCCCCTAAACACTTCAGGCTGGAAAAAAGTGTTCTGCTCCTGGCTTGTACCTTGTCTGAATCATACTGCAGCACTTGGGTGCCAGGAAATATGCAAGCATACTCCCTGCCCACTGGGGTGAGGAAGGCTGAAAAACTCTGTGCGTGGCACAGACCCTGGCAATACCTTCCCTGACACTCCCTGCCTACATTCAATTAAAAAGCCTGCAAAGCTCTGAGCTGCACGCTCTAGGATTCCTTGCCTGGCCAGCAGGCTCTTTGCTTCTTTGTTACAACTTCTGTACAGGTCAGTTTTTGTCTCAGGAAAATAAACCTGGGAGAGTTGTCCTGGATGATTTAAATGCGTGTATGCAGCCTAAGGTAAGGGCATAGAACCTGAAGCACAATAGCTGGTCTGTACTAGCTTCATGCAAGGACACCCTTCATGTGGAGCAGATGTCTTTAAGACTACTCTGACAAAACAGTTATTACTGTTCAATTTCCCACCCTAATTTACTGGGCATGAACTTTGCTATGTAGACAAGCCCCAAGAAGTATGGGATGAGAGAGACAACCATATTACAGTATGTAAAGACAAATGTTGACCCTGATTTGAAATCCACAATCTATTGTAAAAGAAAAACTTTAAAAATAAAAAAAGATGAATATCACATTACAGTAGCAAGTCACCATGTTGTGATAGAAAATAATTTTCTCTCTTTAGGAGTTCATTTTTGATCTGTATCTTTTTTTTGTTGCTGCTGTTTGTTAGGCACTGGTAGTTCAAGGCTTGCCCATGACAGGGGCTCCGCTTTCCTCATAGTGAGCTCAATCTTTGTAGCGGTCATGTTTACGTAACTCCTCTTCACATCAATTACCTGGAACAGAAGAGAAATATTTCAACTGACAACACCAGAGATGTTTAACAAGCACTACCAACTTGACACATTATGGCAGTTTTCTGAACATTAAAAGGTTTATATCTGCCAATCCAAAACAGAACATGGACTGCTCCATCCAAAACTACCGTGTTTATCCATAGCAAAAGTGAGTTTGAATTTGAGATGAACCCCCAACAATTAGATTCTCCATATGGAACATTTATAAAAGTATTAAAAAAATTGTCCAAGTATAGAATATAGTTATTAGAGGGTCATTTTAAATTCATTTCCCACCCACCGCTGGCTGCAGCAGGAAAAGCAGCAATGGTGGGGTGTACCTGGGGAAGAGGTAAGCAGCCCCTTTGTCCTCCCTGCAGTCTGGGAAGAGTCAGACCCAGGTTACAACAGTAACCTGCCTCCCCACCTTGTAGTCTAATCCAGGATGAGGGGCTGTCACTCTCCCCAACCCACATTAATAATCCAGGATGAGGGGCTGTCACTCTCCGCAACCCACATTAAAACAGAGGAAAAAAAATTGTCTTGGATTTGAGTAAATATAGCATGTAGCATTTTTAAAATCTAAATTGTAAGAAAGAAAATTTCAAATTCACAACTTACAAAAACCTCAATCACCCAATTACTGCAAAATCAGAGCTAATCAGAAATAGAGGTTCAAGGCTGAGATCCCCTCTGGTTCAAAACCTTGGATCTCCTCTGGATTCTGGAGAAAGTTGGGCTGCTATCAGCCCCTTCTCTACTTTCAATTCAAGACTGAGATTTGCACACACATGCAAATGCATATATATTAAGCTAAGCACATGGCAAGCGCATGGAATTGTATTTCAAAGTCTGGCCTTCAACATTTTCTACAATATTGATTATGATTAAGCTTAGAAGTCACACAGGACTTAGGCACTTGATAAACCCAAGGTGTAATGACGATATGAATAAAAAGAACATTTTTACTTTCATAATAAGAGTAGCTCGTCTATTTTAATGAAAAACTGAATAATTATACTTACCCCCCATAGTTTTACACTGTGATGAAATTCTTTATCCCCTTCAAATATAATGTGTATATTTAACTAAATGGGGAAAAAAAGAGATTGACATTATTCAGCTACCACACAATAGCTCACAATGGTCTAAAATAAAGTATTTAATAATTAGGACCCTGACTCTACGTAAGTGAAGTCAACAGAATTTCACTCAACCACATGGGTCACAACCCTAAACCATCCCAATTGCAGGACCAAAT